AATGACACAATGCTGGCACTTTCGGCCTGTACCACGGGCCAACACGTCGCCGATCACACGGACAGGAAACGAAACGAACATACAGACGCCCTGTGTACTAGACACACGAACATGTCACAAAGAGCAGACACAACAACACGCGAGAACACCCCCTCCTTGAACCTCACCTCTCGCCTGGACCCCCAAAACAATCCACTACCACAACCACGCCGCGGTGTAACATTACAGAGTACTTACATCCGCACTCAGAGTTAATCCCGACAGCAGCACGAGCAGAAAACCACCACCAACACCACGGCCATGTGAACGGACGAACGGCAGGTATACCTTGTTGAGCCCGTAATGGTCCTTGTCTAGCTGTAGCTGCGCGCGACGGATGTCGTACGTTTCCTCCGACACACGGTTCCACGGCAGCTCCGACACGGTCTCCAGATACGTCCGGATAACCTGCGAGCAGAATGAGGGCGCGCACATTCCCCACGGGAACCAACCGGGGGTTGTCGCCGGGATTGAGACAAGTTGGGACAGGGGAGGACTACAAGACGACGAGCAGCAGCGGACATCTGTCAAGACTGCTTGCGACGGCACGTGGTTTCGATTTCGGTCGCGAGCGCCTCGAGAGCCAGGTCTTGCCGTCAAGAACACGCGTCGTCATGAGGGACATACAAGTCAACGACGGACTTGGTACCACGGAAGCACACCCGATGGAGCCGGCACGGGCCGGACCGCAACCTTCGGCATCCCCGGATTTCCAACTGCAGTGGCATGCAAGTGCGCGCAAGCACGCACCGTGTACTCTGGCTGAGAGGCCTGCATCCTCTTGAGTCTCGACAGGTCTCGCTTGGCGACCTTTGAGGCTTCCGGCGGAAGGCCGGCGGCTTCGAGCTTGGCCTCCAGCGCGGCCACCTCGTCGCCCTCGCTCAATCCTCCCTGGCGGCGGGCACAAAAGGGGTAGGAAGACCACGGGGACAAAAAAAAGGCTGGTCGAGAGCTCGCCGTTGTTTGTGGGAAGCTAGGGAAGTAAGGCAGGACGGGGATAGGGGACAAGGCCATCACCCGAGGAGAGCGGATCGAGGTAATATTTTCGCGACCGTGGAAATACAACCGTTCCGTCCCGGACAGGCATCCAGAATGGCATCCGGAATGGCATCCGGAACGGTAAGTAACTGAACACAGACAAGCCTCGCAACAAGAACGTCTCGACGCGTTTACCGACTGAGTACAGTACCCGGTACCCTTAGTGCTCGGGTCCACCCAGAGATGGCCCTTACGCTTATTAAGGGCAGGCTCCCAAGGCAACAAAAGGTCCAGGTGTGGCGTGTTTACGTTCCTTGTCCCGCTGGAAGACTCGCGTCTTTTCATCGGTCAGCCGGTTAGCGTCGTCGACGATCAGGTAAAGAAACACACAACCGCAATAAAGAATTTCGATTCTTAATACCTATCAGTGGTTACGATGACAATGAGACAAGACACGCACACGCGCCATCGCACGTGCGACCGCAAAATTCACTCGTTCATCCCCCTCAGTCCATCCATCAACCAGACCAGGCGCGACTGGAGAACCTCAAGACATAACAACGTTGTCATCTGTGGCGGAAACATCTTTGCCGAGAACAGTAATCTGCCATCCAGTGTTCCTCATCAAACGCCGCAGCAGCAGTTTCGCGGCCAGCTAGCGTTCTGCCTGTGTCTGCCCCCCCCCCCTCCCCAGGCTCAATTAACTCGTTCACCTCTTCGCCGAGCTCAGAGCGGATGGCCTTGAGCTGCTGCCGGAGGTAGTACTCCCTGTGCCGGCTGTTGAGCTTTCCCTCCACCTCCGAGTTGATCTTGCTGGCGATCGAGAGAATCCGCGTCTGCTCACGCACGAGTTCCAGCACCCGCCGCAGCCTCTTCTCGAGCGAGGTTTCCTCAAGAATGGCCTGTTCGGTACGGGGGTAGGATGAGAGCGGGGGGAGGTGTTTTTGTTGGGATTGATGGAGGACAGTGCCTCTTGCCGCAGCCCCCTCATTCTTTTCAAGGTACGCTCCCGACGCCTGAACGTGGTAGCTTCTCGAGTGACAAGCGAGGGTGTCGCTACCGGAGGAGACGTTGAAATAAGAAGGAGATGGAAACCAGGTAGTTCTCCTCGAGCGGCTTTTCTTGGTCCAAACGAAATGGGCCGTTCGGCAGGAACACCGGCTTCACCGAACACCCCGAACGAACTCGTAGAAAATAACACGGTGCCGAGTCTGACAAGCAGTAGACCAGTACACGCAGCCGCGACTATTCCACACAGAGATCCATGCTGGTAGTCGTGAGACGGGTTTTCGAAGTAGAGGAAGAACGAAAAAAAAAAAGGCGAAAACAAATGCTACATGGCATGAGTCGACGCACACACAAATGACCCAACTCCTGGGTGTTGCGTGCGGGCATGTTCGGGCTTCTCATGCGCCGACACGAAAGACAAAATACTTCAAGGTATCCACCTAGTGCGCTGCAGACACATGCACACACGCGAACACAAACGGTTTTCCTGCTCAAGGACAGGCGCATTGGCAAGCAGCCGGTCAGCGCGCCGACGATGCTCATACACAACCACGAGCACAAACACCACACGAGACGATTCTCGCCTGCTTCTGGTTCGTGGGGATGTTGATGCTCGAGGCCAGGACATCCGCGACGGCTCCGGGGGACGCCGCCGACACAGCGTCGAGTATCTCCCTCGCGTTCATCGCCCTGGGGTGGCTGCGTGACTTGAGCACCTCGAGCAGGGCCTGGGCCGCCTCTCGGAGGTTCAGCGACAGCGCCTTCACCTGCTGGGGTCGAGACGGGGGCAAAGAGAGCGAGACGGAGAGATGTGGTTGGTCCCCAAGATGAAGGAAGGGGGTACGTGTCCCCGACCTCCCGCCGGCCTTGCGTAAGCCTCTTTCATTCTTGATTGATTTCCGTCCTTCATGCCTTTTGTAGACATCAGCCCGTATCTCACTTTACCTTCAAGATTCGGCGTTGAGGCCCGCAAGAGCTAACGCTAACTAGCGCTCGTGCGCGGTCATGTGTATGCTGTATGCCTTTACATAGGATGGACCGCACAAACCGGCCAACAAACGTGGTTTTGCGTAGTGAGACGAAACACCCGACCACGCCGTCTAGTCATCGGGCTGCCGCGGCGGGGGAGAGGAGGGGGGGGGGCGCGCNGGGGGGGGGGGGGGGGGGGGGGGGGGGGGGGGGGGGGGGGGGGGGGGGGGGGGGGGGGGGGGGGGGGGGGGGGGGGGGGGGGGGGGGGGGGGGGGGCGCGCGGAGAGGAGGCTTGGGGGACGGGGTGGGGTCTCACGAAAGTTACTCGAAATTCTTGGCGGTGGTGATGCTTCTTCTGGTGTTGCTGCTTCTGCTGGTGTTGCTGCTTCTTCTGGTGCTGCAGGTGCCGACGGTACTGCTGGTGCTGCTGGTACTGATACTGCTGGTGAACCGAGCCCGGGGACACCCTAACCCACACGAAACCCGCAACACGCACACACCTCCGCATCGGCGATGGAACCCTGATCGTGGAGGCGCACGACAGTCCCGTGTAGCATCAGCTCTTCCTCCGAAACGCTCAGAAGACGGATGCGCGAGACGCCTTGCACGAGCACAGAATACTGTTGTGGCATCAAAGCCCCAGGGATGCGGCCGTTTCGATCAACGGAAAGACAGGGTAGGGAGGAAGAGCAGGCATGAGGTCCGGCGAGAACTGGGAGAGGGCAGGGAGCTGGAAACAGACTGGATCAGGTCGAAATCAGACGCGAAATTCCAGGCCGACATACAAAACAAACACAGAGCCACACAGCCCGCGGCAGCAGTAAAAGCGCCAGCAGCAGCAGCAGCAGCAGCAGCAGCAGCAGAGCAATAGACACAAACATAACATCAGCAAGCAACAATGATGACCGCAGCAACAGCAGCAGAAACAACATAACAACCAACCAGGAATACCAGCACCCGGTCTCAGCGTCACCTTGAACGTTTCGTTGCCAGTGACCCTCCCCATCTGCACCACCTTGGCGGCACACCCGACGCGGCTCATGGTGCTGAGGATGCGGCCCTCGCCGCCTCCGCTGCCTCCGCCTCCGCCGCCGCCCGCCCCCGGCCGCTGCTGATGGTCTCGGAAAATCGCGACGTCATCGGATGCCGACCTCTCCTCGTCAACAGCGCCGACCCTTGCAGCGTATGGCCGGCATCACGGCGCGGTGGAAAACAAAAAAACACAAACGCAAAGAAGAGATTAATCGTCATACAAATCGCCAAGGGGTCATGTACGGCACGGGTAAGCTCGGCAGACCAACGAGTGCGTTCCGGCAGAGTCATGAAAAGGGAAAAAAAAGTTGTGATGTCCTCACGCTATTTGTAGAGTGCCCACACGCATTTGTCGGCTGTACGCATGGCACGCAGATGAGAGAAAGATAACAAAGAGCGAGGAAAACGCGAGACTTAAGAAATAACAACAACCAGGCAGCAAACGTAAATACTTTTGGGAGAATGAGAGCAAGGAGAGTTGGCACAGGGAGCACGTCATTGCGTTGGGATTGGAAACAAGAGAGGAACCACCAGTTGGAGTGAGTGCTATGGGCGACGCTTGAACCAAGCGTAGGTGCCGATCAGGGTTGGTGGACATGAGGCCGGCACACTCGAATGCTTCTGAGGGCACTCACCACCTGTGCGTTGGACGCCGTCAGTGCTATGTAGCAGTCGATCTTTCGACCAGCTGTTGCAGACTACCCGCAACTCTCGGGCAACCCCGCCAACCCAAAGAAGAAGATACGGAAAAAAACTAAGCATTAATATCTATGTGCGTGCACATCGTTCCGCGTGCGGCCTTTGAACCCACAACCACCCGTGGCGATAGTAAGGCTTCACGATATACCTCGAGTCTCAAGTAGGCGCGCCTTCCCTCTGCTTGGCACGTATGATACTTCCGTGTAAATATACGTATGCATACCTCTGTGTGAATATGGCCACGAGGATGGTAGGTCCTCCTCCGCTGCCCCCCCCGTTCGCGTGTCGGTGGAGGCCGTCCTCTCGGGTGCCGAGGAGGGACTCCACCAGCCGCACCGACTGGGGCTTGCCCACGCTTAGCCTCAGCAGGCCTCCGGGGAAAAGCACCCGATCCCGCACCACAAACACCGGCTTTTGCATCATGAAAACCCGCCGTCGTTGGGTGGGGTGAAGAAGGGCATGCGCGCATGGTGGGTGTGCGGAACAGCAGAGGGGTCGGCCGGGTAGTAAGGCGGCGCGTAGCACTCTCAGAGATCTATTATGCATACGCCGTGGTTGTATCTAACAAGGAGAGCAGGAAGAAGGGTGAAGGCACCCTGCGCGTACCTACTGGGGCAAGGCACATTTGCTTGTTCGTACACGCCTATCTATCCTCGTCGACAGCGCGTACACTTTCTCTGGAATGCCCTCCACCGCCTCCACGCCATCTTGGGCTCTGGCAGCGGAATCACACACGACGAACACTTCCGACGGCGGCCAGGCGCGCCCCCTCACAGAGATAGATGTACATGACATCCCCAGCTGGTCACAGCAGTGCGGAGTCCACAGCAGAAAATCAACTCATTCTGAGTAACGCGTAGACTGGTGATGGATGGGAGCGATGTCCTGGAGCGGCAGGTTCGCCTTCCCGAGTGAGGCACGCAACCCATGCCCAAAGGGCATGCACCAGTGGTGTGGGTTGCTGAGAGGAAAAACACGGGGATGGCAGCAGCAGCAGCACTACTGGAGGAGAACTTGAGGGGTTCTTGTACACGCCGGGTTGAAGCAGTACGGCTGTCGGAGGGGCGGGCACCAAAGACCCCTATGACGTGCTTCGAGCGAGTACAAGAGTAAGAGAACGGTCGTGGATATGCAGCGACAGCAACACTTCGCTCACGTGAACTATCCGGTGTGGGGGCGGTGCGATCACAAGGAACACAGCGCACTCGCACACGTCTAGAACAATCGTGTGCGTTTATGTACGTACAGCAGGTCAGGGCTGTAATTGGGAAGTGTACATTTCTGTCGTAAATGTACCCCGTGATTTGAGGCGTACCCCAGGCACTTGGTGGGGGATCAATAAGGCAAGATCAATACTGCTATACGCTGTGGGCTAACCGCCTGTTGTTCAACGTCGCACACGGAGAAGTGGTCGCCGGTGCGGCTCTGTAACTAAGAGGTGTGTATCCAACTTCAAAATGGAAAAAGGGTTGAGGCCAACAAGCCCTTCCTGCCAAGCACTGGCCTGTACAGCACCTCGTTATTGCCACATGATTACGTTGCGGAGGCTCACCAGCTGCACAGGAGCGACATCGTCCGGGCTCATGCTCTCTCCAAGGTCGAAGCGGCGTGCACTGGTTCACATTGAACACAAAGCAACAGCATCGGAGAACCCGCGGACTGCAACACTAGAAGCTAACCCCCCTCTCCCGAGAACACACACACATGCATCATCTCTCATTTGCATGTTTAGTGATGAAGGTATGGAACGTACAAGCGCATGGGCATTTGGAAGGAGAGCTCGAAACGGTACCTATTTGCCGCGGTGTAGTCGACCGTACAGAGGGGAGCTGCACGAAGAAAGCGGCGGCGTGGTCAGTCACAACAAAACGACTGACAGGGTCTAGCTGCACTCCCCGTGCTACACTCAATACCGGGGATCTGCTGGCCAACTCCCGAAGGCAAGTCTCTGGATTGCCGGAGTCCGTCTGACGCTGGTGCGCTCCAGACACGTGGAGAGAACACCAGTCGGTGAGATGATACGCACCCGCGTTGTAGATATCTACCGAGGGGTACTGTTTAGTTAGAGTGAGTGTTTCCGGGACCGACGCCAACCTTGTTCTGACGCTGGCTCTATTATTATACTTTATCCAATATAAAACTACAAAGAGAACAACCTTCCCTCCCGTTCCATCTTCAGTGGAGGCACCAGTAAGAGGCGGATGCCGAAGCTGGAACGTTCAGGTTTACTGCTGGAGCTGAACTATCGAAGGTTGCACCAGTCTCTAAAAAACAGTCCATGATCTGCGCCGGAACCCAACGTGTGTCGCAGCGTGCTCACCGCTACGGACCGTAAACCCCTGAACTCGCAAGAACAAAAACAGCACTGGGTGTGGTTTTCGGTCCAATTTGCGGAAATCTTAGGCCGCTGTTTTTCGACCCTCAATATCACCAACCCAGAAGCAGAATTGAGCGCGCCAACACACACACCCTGCCGCTATTTGATGTCCTCGAGTGAGATCAGGTAGTTGTGGAGATAGAACGCAAAAACGACCTAATTTGAGCGCCCGCCGTTCTGGCTCGTTCAACTTGGCTTTAGAGCAGCGTGAATGTTTATATTGATTTCAAAGCGGCGTGTGAAGGTAGCCTGCACGATGCGGACTCGGAGTATGTTTAGAGCAGCCTCTACTGCCGCCCTGTGTGAGCATCACGAATTTCGTTTTTCCCAATGTCTTCCGACGGGTCTAGTGTGTCTCGCATGCTCTTGCGCAGCGGCCGCTCAGCAGTCAGGCTGTTCTTCCAACAGCTCAGTGGGCATCCAAAATTCCGCCAACCCTGATGCCCATGCCTGCGTAATTCACTCTGGCGAAGTCTCGAGGAAGGGTGCAATGCCGAGTGAAGTTTGGTGCTGAGGGCTGCGAAACGGGCTTGAATCAACAGCTCTTTTACTTGCCATGGCACGTCATTTGCCAGGGTCAGAGCGAAACCACGGCGTCTCAACTATCTGCGCGTGTAGAGCATGTTTGTGCTTGAGCCCTCCTCTGCTGATTTCCTAGCACGTAGCGGCCTGTATAGGGAGGGCCAGCAGTGACAAAGGTGTTGACGTGATGCCAGTGGTCTCATAGGCTCATCCGGCAAAAACTCACTGGGGAATACACGGGGCACCACGTAATTTGCACGGAACCCCCTTTGATCATCTTTGCTCTGCTTTTGTGGGGCCTGCAACCCGGGTGACGCACGCGGCAACCCCGGTGACGGTTGCGCGCGGCCCGTTTTTACCGGTCCCTTTTTCTCTGTTGCTTTCCGAGCGCGTGCAGGCTGTGACGGGATGTGTAGACGCCTTTCTCGGCCCTCGGCAGTAGAGCTCGAGACGTTGCGGAGAAACAGTGATTCTGTCTCTGGCAAAGGAGCAGCATTTCTTCTGCTCGCGCGCACAACGACCAATTGCTGTAGAACCTTACATTTCGCTCTTCCTGCCGCATTGACGCATTTTTCACAGACGTCCCGGAAGTTGGTCAGGTCCCCTGCACAATGGCGCAGGCGGACCGTAACGCGCTGATTGCCCCATACAACACGACCGGTGGGGCTAAGTGGAAGAAGAAAAAAAACTGGAACACGGGTGCCGCTCTCTCGCGATGGGAGGGCGTCAACGTCGCCGCAAAACGGCCGTGTTTTGGGTCTGTATTTGGTCAACAACAACCTCCAAGGTACAGTCGACCCCGCTTTAAGGAAACCAAAATTAAGGAAACTCCCCGGGTGAAGGAAACAATTTTTCGCCGAAACACAATACCCCGCATAATGTAAAATATACGGGGGGGTCCATATTCTAGTCCGCGGATCCCCCTTAAAGCACGTTTTCAGCGTACCCTCTTCGCCAGCAGAGAGGTCTGTTGCTTCACCTGCTGTCTGCGGTATGCAAAGATTCGTTTCACCTACCGGTGCGTCCTCTGCAGCTGGGTTAAAACGGTGTGGGGAACCCACGCGCACGTTCACGAAGCTCGCGTCGGGTATCCACACATGCCCGTGCGGTCGATGGATGCACGCGTTTTGTGGTCGCGGCATCGGGAAGGAAGGCTACGGACAGCAGAGGGAGTGCACGGAATGTCTCCTTTTTCAGGGGATGTCGGGGGCTGAGCGATGCAGGCCAGGCGACAATGCTGGACGTCGCTGAGATCCTTACCCAGAAGTGGAAAAGTTTCTCGGACCAGACTGTTGTCAGGTGCTGGCTCAAGGCCACCATCCTTCCCGAGGAGCACGAGAACGTCCTCAAGAGGAAGGACATGCGGCTCGCTGGAAAGGACAACCGGAGGGGGGGGAGGTGGGGGACAAGGGGGGGGACACGGGCGAAAGGGGACTCATCGACGGCCTTTGCGACTTGGTCGCGAAGCTGTCGATGCCAGACAGCGTCGACGTCACCGACGCCAGAAAAATTCCAGGGGTGTTGACGGACAATTTGTTTGTCGAGAAGAACTCGGGCCTCACTGATGTAGAAGTGCGAAAGGCAATTAAGACGTGGCTTTCCGTAGAGGATGACCCCAGCGTGTTGGAAGACGAGGTAGCTCTGGAACTGGAGATTGTGGAGCAGAACATGGCAAACTTGGAGGTTGATGCCTCTTCTGACGACGAAGATGGCGGGGATAGGCCAGCCTCGTGTTTTACATCTTCGATGACAGAGGCTCAGGTCCGCGCTAGCTTAGAGAGTGTTCGCTCCTACTTGTACGCCAATGGCAAGGATGGCGAATACCGGGAAACCCAGCGCCTCCTTTCGAAAACGGTGCATTCGTTCACGCATGAAACACAAGTCAAGCGCAGGTCCAAGGAGCGGGGGGCGCTGCAGGCAACTCTTCGCGATATGTGGAGGAAGTCGTAGCGTTGAGTGTTTGCGGTTTGTCGGCCATACGCCGCGNCGGTGCATTCGTTCACGCATGAAACACAAGTCAAGCGCAGGTCCAAGGAGCGGGGGGCGCTGCAGGCAACTCTTCGCGATATGTGGAGGAAGTCGTAGCGTTGAGTGTTTGCGGTTTGTCGGCCATACGCCGCGTTGTGTGCTTGTGTCTGAATGGCGCTCCAGTAGAGAGTAACGCAGGAGAGTTTCTGCGTGCGCTCCCCCAGGGGTAAACAAGAGTCACCAGGTGAATTTGAAGTGTCCATCAGGTATTTTCCGTGCTGTGTGGTGGTGTTCAGCAATAAATAATTATTTTCTCGCCGACTCCCAGCCTCTTTTTTTATTCCAACAATGCCCTGCCCAGGGCGCACCTTTTGACGTATGTACCGCCACCATTGACCCCGGGCATGGTGCGTTCTGATCCCCTGAAGTTGAAGGAAACTTCCCCCCGTCAAGGAAACATTTTTCGAAGCAAAACCATATGTTTCCTTCAAGCGGGGTCGACTGTATTCCAAGGCTTAAAACGTGACGGCGTGCTGCTGTCTTGCGATGTGCTCCACGCTCGACCTTGCCGCAAAAAATCGTTGACCGAGATTTTTTTTTTTTTTGTCATGCCATGAAAGCTGGAGGTAAAAGCCCTTCCACATGTCGGTATAGATTTTGGACGCGCCAACCGTGGTCGCACAGAACGAAGGCTCCAAAGGAATAGCATTCCCCGCCTTGTTCCTGCGGTTGCTTGCCTTGGTTTTTTGTCGCTAGAAGGATTCAGCCGCTCCTTGTTCCCTCGTCGACCACAAGGTCGAATGTCTGCGTTCACACGAAGTAATCGTTTTCCACGGTGTTTGGGCAAGTTGCGAAAAAAAAAAGGAGACTGCCCCAAGATCCGAACCCGCGTCAACATTCTAGAACGTCGCGGGGCTACTATGATCCTGTTGAACTATCATATAGCAGTGTCTCCCCAACATGGCACACCCTGCGAACAAGACAACAAGCTACATATGTATGTTCCCACGTTCCCGCGTTCTGGGTGGCCGCGGTTTACTTCCGAATACCACCTGTACGTCGATTGGCCTCAGTACCAGCACGCTGTGCGTACGATGTTGCCGTACTCGTCAAAGCCAATTCTGCTACTTATATGTCTGCTCCTTGAAAGTGCGTCCCCTGCCTTTGCACCACATCAATTTTCGAAGTGCTTCTGGTGCACAGAGGACCTGTATTATCGCTTGTAATGAAGAGCTCGAATGTGGAAACCAGGATATAGGTATCTTCCCAGTGGTATGGACGCACATACAACGTAGAGATCCGTGATCCCAGGAACGACGTTTTCGAGGTCTGAAGATCTTTACAACAAAAAGACCCTCTTTACAGCAAAAAGGCCCTCCGTCTGCTGTGACCAGCCGGAGGGTGGAAGCGGGTCCCCGAAGTTCACTCTCACCTTTCAACCTAGCAAGGCCGACTAAAGTCAGCCACGCTTGGTCATTCCTTGCCACGTTGCAATAAAAGCGAAATTACCTCCGTTGGTGAACGGATATTCACCACTTCAGGGACCTTTACTCGCAGAGTAAGGATCATTGCCAGAGTAAGGATATTATCATGGATGCGTCTTTTGTCGTATTCTTGATCCTTTTCGATAAAAAAATCCGTTTCGCACTGGACCGGTTGGCTTGGTGGTTTGGTGTTGTTGCTGGACACGTCCGCTCTCGCTTCTAGACTGTGTGCAAGAGGATGTGAAGTGGTTGTCGCACGAGTTTAATGGGGAGGAACCACATATTGCCACTGTATAGCTCGGCAGTTTTCGATTTTGAAGAATTGATGGGTTGCTTTCTAGAAATGTGTTCCTCCAAACCTTCTAGAACAGCTACTCACCCACGCGTGAATGGGGTCTTATACAGAAATTAAAAATTTTACTGTTGAACGCCCTGTGCTACTATCCAACTCGTTTCATCCGAGGTTGAGGTGCTCCAAGGCGCTCAGATTTCCCATCTTCGGTGGGATGTGCCCTGTAGGTGTACAAGTCAAAGCAAGGAATTCCGAACATCAAATCCGTTAGCTTCTAGACGATCACTTACTCGCCCGCGCGTTGGCGACTAGTGGCATGTCCTAGAAGATACACGGGCCCGATGTTCTGTAAAAGGTTGACTACTGTAACTTCATACACTTTCGCCCGTTCGTTTTCGTTTGTTACAGGACCCATTCCCGAGGCGCTGGAAGAACCGCAAGCTGCAGACGTTTTGGGTCTCTGAAAACCACCTTTCTGGTGAGAGGCTTATTATAAGATGCATTTGTCCCGCCAACGCGTGGGCCGGATTTAGCATACTGTTGTTTCTGCAGATTTCGAAATATGTATTTGCGGTGTTGGACGTCCTGGACTCACCACCCACTTGTTCCAGCGGAGGTTGAGCTGCACCAAGGCGCTCAGATTTCCTAGCTGCGGTGGGATACGTCCTGTAGATGAGCAAGTCTAACGCAAGGGGTGTTGTTTGAATTCCGTACAACAAATCCGCTGACATCTGGAACACCACGTACTCGCCCACACCTACGTCGGGTACATTATCCAGGAAGGGAGTGAAAATGTTTGTTCTCTAGAAATGTGCAGTGTTGGTGACGTTTCTGCTGTGCGACTTGAACAGGACAAATCCCCGAGGAGCTATTATAGGAGCCCTACGCCAGCTGGAGAGTCTTTTGATCGAAGACAACGACCTTACTGGTGAAGTGTGCATTGAGACATTCACTTCATTCTGTTTTTTCAGAATTCGTCGTTCGGTTTCGAAGACCATCTGTCCCGCCGACGCGTTGGCAAGTGGGTGTTGTAGGAAGGGCAAAATGAATGTTTGTGTTCCCCCGCTAATCTGCATTTCCTCATTCCTTGCAGGCCCCATCCCGCCGGAGCTGGGAACCCTCAGAGAGCTAAAAACGCTGTCGCTCTTACGCACCCAGCCCACAGGTGAATTATTGCCTCGATCTAGATTATTTCTCGGACTGATTCCATGGTTGAATCCTGCCAATGCATTGGTGTGTCTTCATCCTGAAAGTTTATCGGGAGAAACACTATTGTACTCGTGACCCTAGTGATTACCGCCCAGCCTGTTGCTTGCGAGGTGGAGGATTCTGTGTGTGAAGGTTTCCCAGCTCCAGCGGGATGGGGCACGTAGCGAAAGGGCAAAAATGGACTCAGCGGAGGGAAACCAGAAAAGTGTCCCGGCCTTCAGAAAAACTTCCCGAGGACCCCTTCTAGAACACGTGTTCGCTCATAAATCAGCGAGATTCATCCTGATTACCTCGATCAGGACAAAACGAGAAACTCACGGGTTTACTGATTTAGCGTAGGGTAGAGTTGCTGCAGTGCTGCGAGTTTTCCAACTCCTGCGGGATGGGACCTGCAGCGAATGAGCGAATATGGATCACCGGAGGAAACAAGTCGGTTTCCCGCATTTTATTTATCACTTACGCGCCTACGGCATGGGTGAGTTTGGTGTTCTAGAGGCCGCGGGAACGCGACCTTGTATTTTCTGTGCCTCGTTCAAGCCGTCGTTGCTCGTTAACTGCATGTCCCACCCTGCCGGAGCTGGAAAACCTAACAGCTTTGCATGTCCTTTCGTACATAAAGCAGATCAGATCCCTCCAGATGGAGCTGTCTCTTTCGAAGGGTATATCCCTTGTGGTCGGTAGGTGATCTGTTTATGCTTGCTCCTTGGTGATTTGAAAGCCATTCGTGGTGCTCTCTCTTTTCTCGCCAACACTCTCCCCCCCAACAAAAATCATACCTCATTAATCTTCGAGGCGAAGCAAACTGTTCTTGGGTTGTATTCTATCTTTGAACAATTCCTGTCGTACGCGGCCTTCCACCAACACAATACATGATGTCGCATCCACATGCATATGGCTACATCGAGATTGCTGCTGCAATCTGTTGTGCAACACCCACGTTGAAGTTGTGATTTTCCGGAACAAATGGCCCCCGTTGCCCCAACCTCATCCACCCATTCACGTAAATGTGCTGTGGGGACTCCTTGTGCACTGTTCTACTTTTGACCCACGCCAAAACGAACTCGCACAAAAACCTAATCCAATAAAGAGTGGGGTGCGGGATTGGTGTGGATCGAGATATGTTCGCGGCCCTACTGCGCGCGATATGATGCCCAGCAGGGATCAGATTCCTTGGGAGGGGTTTGGTCAAGCATTTTTACAGGATTCTTCCCCTCCATGAGAATTCGAGTGGAAGTCGGCACAACCAATTCTGAAGGAGTGCGTGGTACCGGGGGATAGAGGACGATTGCCGCTTGGCAACGCAAACGCCGAGCTAACGTCAAGGTACCCGAGTCTTGCATCTCCCGAACCACCGGAAAATCGACCGCACGGAAACGGTCGTGTTTTGCTCTCGGGGTTGCATGGGGACCTGCGGATGACGAGTCACTTCCGCAGTGGCCAACCCGGCTGCGGAAAGAGTCAGCGGAGCAGAAACGGTCCAAGCAGAAAATCGTCGAGCAGAGTCGGGCCTGGGAGTACGCAAGGTTTGAGTCGGGTGGGGCAAACCCCACTGCCGATGGACGTGTGTCCTCGTCAGGGGGGGCGATACGGAGCACGAGTTTCGGGTGCAGGTGGCTTCCTTTCCAGCGGTGGAGGAGCTCACTCGAGAAAACCGCGGAAAGTTGTTGGACATAAAACGCCTCCTCGGAAAACCTGCTGCTGATTCCGTTCGTCTCGGCACTGAGCTTGCCGACAGGGAAAAGCTGCGGGAGCTCGACAGGCTGGTAGCGATGGCCAAGACTCTGGGCTAGATGATGGTGAGTGAGTTGTCCGATTTCTCAGTACGCGACAATATGGGTGGGTCAGGGCTGAGTGTGGACAGTTTCGTGGAATGAAGCATAATAGATTGTACTCTTGCCCGCGACTGCGGGTGTCCGCTATCTCCTGGCCTTCTGCAAAGTACTTGGCGAGCCCAAGGCTCTTCTTGAGCTAACACTCTCTATCATGCGATGCTGTTCGAGCGCACAGTCCAGACATCCCGAGGACGAGGGCTTACAGCGGAAGGAGACGGGTTTAGCCCGGGGTCCCAAGGAGTACTACACTGCCATCAGAGGTGGCGTACGCAACGCGTACCTCGCTGCCGGCGTTGTCGTCAGCGGCTTGGTGTCGACGAGCAAGATCGGTGCCATCGGCAAGGTTGGTACCGTGGGTAGATGCGTGCAAATGGGTGCGCTTGTTCGAGGTAGCGGCATGCGTATCGACAGAAGCGTAAACAGTCTGATTGGATAGTGATTGTCGGGACTGTCAAGCTAAAGAGTCGCTGTGTAGCCACATAGTATGAGAATATAGTGGAATGTTCTTGGTCTTTTCTCTCTGGTTGTAGGAACGTTCTTCGTGGATAGTACATTAGCCCGAGGATGTGTGATACGTAGGAAAGTGCATTGGTCCGTTCCATGCATCGGTCCGTGTTCGGTTTATATGCGTGATCGGGCGGATGCCCAAGCGTGCTGCTGCTGGGATGCTGTGCACCCACCCAGCTCACTCCACCTTTTGACCTGTTCTCCTGGTCCAAGGTCTCATCAATACAACATCTTTTCCCCAGAAGCCACGAGTTTACCAACACGCTATAGCGCCAGTAGTCAGTCGACTGCTGCTTGTGCCCTCGGACTGTACATCAAAACTGCACGGAGGAAGATTGATCACCTTGCTTCGTGATGAGTGGGCCTGCTGGGGATCATGTGGATGACCCATCTCCGGGTGATTCGCAGGATGTTATTGGTGGTGAGAGATTTGATTCGATTGAGACACAGTTGTCCCAGCTCACGAGTATAATCAAGTCGCTTGTTGGGCAACGTGGTGTTCAGGTGGAGTCCTCTGTTTGTGCTGTTGCGCCGGGAAGCGGCGGAACAGAGTACGGGGCTGGTGCGCATCAATCGGATGCAACCAGTGGGACTGCGGGAGGTACGGGCGGCGATGCCCCAGTCCTTGACATGCCCAGCGTTGGGGTTGGGAATGGTAGTCCTGCAGGCGCAGGCTCAGGTTTGAACCCTAGTGCAACTGATTTTAATCGGGTTGGAAGTAGCGGTCTCTTAGACTCAGGCTTGAACTTTGATGCATTTACAGGAAATCGTTCCTCTGTTGGTGCCGCAAACTTTGGTTCGATCGGACTTGTGACCAGGTAGCTAGTCTTTCATTCCGCCCCCGTCTACTCCATCGAGTGAGTGGTGCGGACATGCCGCCAGTGGAAACACACTAGATCCCTGGGGCCGGCATCGCAGACACAGGAGAGAAGTTGGGTAGGAACGCTTTTAAAGTTCCCAAAGCTCCTGTTGTCGACGGCACTGATGTCTCGTATCCATCGTGGTCGCAGAAATTTTTGCGGAGTGCCCGTCACAACAATCCGTATGAAGCGTTTGTGTCAATGCATGAGATTCCGATTGCAAGCTTTGAGTTCAACTCGGTACAGCAAGGATTCAGTGTGGATGTGCTGCGCCAGGCAGAAAAGAGAACGGTGAAAAGTCTGACATGGTGCTATTTTCTCAAACCAGACTGAGCAACTCGCTTCATCTCACGTGTCTGATAGCGTATTACGAAGTTATGCTGCTGGAGTGCTTGTCAAGTGATGATGCTGTTCGCAAATACTCTTATTGTTGTGAGGAAGGACAGATGTGTCGAAGAATGGCGTAGCGGACACGGTTACTGCTTTCCACATGACAGACTCTCTCGCTAGCATTAAGGATGTGAAGTCTTGCTATTAGAACGCATGAGGGATTGATGATGTGACTTGTGAGGTAGCACTGTCTGGAACCCTGGAGTAAGTGTTTGTGATTGCTGACAGCGAGTGTTCAGTAGAGTTGGAGAAGGTTTGTGCAACCTCTTTTCTGCCAGCACAGTGTTTGATGACAAATTATGAAATAGTCTCGGTGGTCTTGATGGTGTGATGGCTGCTTTCGACGGAACAGTTAATTTTCAGAACTTCGATGGCATGGTTGTTGCTACTGTGTATCGTCTGGGAGATGAATCTATTGGTTCGGTGTTGGCTGCCCTCACTCCTTCGAACCCCAAGCATGAAACTAAGATGGATGTGAACGAGTTCCATAATATTCATGCTTATGCCCATGAGGAATTGCTTCGTACAACTGCAAAGCGACTGGGTACTGAGTTGACTGGTGAATTGAATGCTTGAGCGGGATGTTCGATGTCAAAGGCATTCAGGAAAGGAATTACTCGTGAAACTAACCGCAGATCAGACAAAAAGTTGGGCAGAGTTTTTGTTGACCTAGGAGGATGGAAGGACGTTGCGTCCGTAGGGGGGAAACATTACCCCATGATAGCGAAGGATGATTTCACTAGACGTACATGGCGTATTTCCTGAGAAATAAATCAGACGCTGGGGGTGCTTTCAGAAGTTTCCTTGCTAGTGTGCGTGCTGATGAAAACCTACCATCATTGGTTGAGATTGTTAGATCTGACAATGGCGGGGAGTTTGTCGGAGGGGAATTTGCGTCAGTGTGCAATGAGCTCTTGATTAAGCAAGAGTTCACCCCGGCTAACAGTCTACAATACAACGGTGTTGCAGAGCGTGGTTTGGGATTGATTGAGGCAGCTGCAATGGCGGCTCGTATTCAGGCGAAGGTTTTGTTTGGGCATGTGCAGTTACCTAAGACTGACAGACTCTGGGCTGAGGCCATGCACTGGGCTTGCGAAGCACTTAACCACACAGCTTGTTCCGCTAACCCAGACAGCAAGTCCTCGTATGAGATANTTGCGTCCGTAGGGGGGAAACATTACCCCATGATAGCGAAGGATGATTTCACTAGACGTACATGGCGTATTTCCTGAGAAATAAATCAGACGCTGGGGGTGCTTTCAGAAGTTTCCTTGCTAGTGTGCGTGCTGATGAAAACCTACCATCATTGGTTGAGATTGTTAGATCTGACAATGGCGGGGAGTTTGTCGGAGGGGAATTTGCGTCAGTGTGCAATGAGCTCTTGATTAAGCAAGAGTTCACCCCGGCTAACAGTCTACAATACAACGGTGTTGCAGAGCGTGGTTTGGGATTGATTGAGGCAGCTGCAATGGCGGCTCGTATTCAGGCGAAGGTTTTGTTTGGGCATGTGCAGTTACCTAAGACTGACAGACTCTGGGCTGAGGCCATGCACTGGGCTTGCGAAGCACTTAACCACACAGCTTGTTCCGCTAACCCAGACAGCAAGTCCTCGTATGAGATATGGTATGGCGAAGCTAGTCCTGCTAGACCGTATCCGTTTTTGAAACCGGCTTACTGTAGGTGGCAGCGACCGTCTATGCTGCTGCCGAAGGGTGAGGCTTGCGTTTATGTCGAGAGACCACCCGCGTGACTGTCATAGAGTACTTACGAGGGCAGGGGCTATTCAACAAACGAGGGATGTGACATGGGAGGCATTGCCGTCACAACTCCCTCCACCGCAACCATCTCTCTTGCCAATAGAGGTAGCAGGGAAGGGAGGGGAGGAAAGTGACGATGTAGAAGCCGAGGTATGGCCGCTTGCAGGAAGAGGAGTACCCCACATTCTTCTGCGACGTGATGAAGCGATCTCTGACGGAGAAATCGATGAGGTTGGCAATGTTGAAACAGGCAAGATAGTGAAGGCCAAGGCTGGGATTGCAGCGAAGGGCTTCAAGTAGAAGCACGGTGTGGATTATCTTGAGACTATCGCCTACTGCAAATGCTGCATCGATTCGTTTGCTGATAGCATTGGCGTGCAAGTACAACTTGGAATTACTCCACTTTGACATTGAGCAAGCGTTTGTTCAGTCGAAATTGGATCATGAGGTGTTCATGAAGTTGCCTCCTGGCTGCGAGCCGGTGTCAGGAAAGGTCGTCCGTTTAGACAAGAGGTTGTATGGACTGAGGCAGGCATCTAGAACATTTCACAAGAGACTAGTGTCGGACCTGATGACAATTGGTTTTGAGCAGTCTCTGTCTGACCCGTGTGTTCTCCGTTTCATAATGAGGGACGAGATGATGGGTATGGTCGCGATTCATGTGGATGACATTCTTCATGCAGGAATTGAGAGGCTTGCCAAGATGGTTGTGGAAGCGCTAGGTGACTCTTTTCCCACGAAGAATTTGGGCGAGGTCAAGTTCTTCTTGGTTGCGCATTTAGTCGCGACCGCGAGGCTGGCACGATTGAGATTTCTCAAGAGGGTTACATAAGGAGTGTTCTCGAGAGATTCAATATTTGTCGCACCAGCTCGATCCCCGCTTCTCCTGCTAGCGCTTACAGGTCCGTGATGGAGGATGAGGAGGCAGGGGATGTGCCGTTCCGAGAGGTGGTGGGGAGCCTGATGTGGATCGCCAACCAGACGAGGCCCGACATCTCAAATGCTGCGCGGGCAGTGGCGAGGCACTCTCATGAGCCAAAGAAAAGCCACTGGAAGGCGGCCCAGAAGATTCTGAATTATCTTCTGGAGACGGCACATCACACTTTGAAGTGCAAGCAGGATGATACGGTAGAAGTAGGCACGTTGGTGTACGTAGATGCCGACTTCGCTAGCAAGGCCACTGACCGTAGATCAGTTTCGGGAGCATTGGTTCTAGTAGCTGACAGTCTTGTTGCTTGGATTTCTAGGACGCAGAAATGTGTTTCATTGTCGACGTCTGAAGTAGAGTATATTGCGATGGGCGATAGTGTGAAGGAAGCTCTGTTTGTGAACGGAATGCTAGAGTCCTTAAGGCCTAGTGAGAAACTTGGTAAGATTCAGGTACTTGAGGACAACGAGGGTGCGATTGCGCTTGCTGAGAATCCCCGTAGCTCGTGTAACAGTAAGCACATCGACGTGAGGCACCATTTCTTAGGAATTTGACAGAGGAAGGAGTGTTGGCAGTCAGTCACGTTTCTAGCGAAGAACAGCATACAGACATCCTGACGAAGGCTTTGCCGTGAAACTTTTTTGAGATTCATCGTGGTTTTGTTCTGGGCTCGAGACCTAACAAGTAAGACAAGTAGAGGTCTGAGTTGCGTTTTGGTTTTTGATTTTTCTGATAAATATTTGGTCTGTTCGAGACAACAGCCCCAAGGGAGGATGTTCGAGGTAGCGTCATGTGTATCGACAGAAGCATAAACAGTCTGATTGGATAGTTTGAATGTCGGGACTGTCAAGCTAAAGAGTCGCTGTGTAGCCACATGGTATGAGCATATGGTGGAATGTTTTTTGTCCTTTCTCTCTGGCTGTAGGAATGTTCGTCGTGGATAGTACATTAGCCCGAGGATGTGCGGTACGTAGGAAAGTGCATTGGTTCGTTCCATGCATCGGTCCGTGTTCGGTGTATATGCGTGATCGGGCGGATGCCCAAGCGTGATGCTGCTGGGATCCTGTGCACCCACCCAGTTCACTCCACCTTTTGACCTGTTCTCCTGGTCCAAGGTCTCATCAACACAACATCTTTTCCCCAGAAGCCACGAGTTTACCAACAGCGCTGACCGATGCGTCGCCCAGTCGGCCTAAGGGCATCTCGCAGAGTTTGGATCGCGCAAAGGTTACGAGTTCAAACCCTACTACAGCAGTGACGCCACTGCGTAGCAAGCGCTTGATGTTGAACATGCAAATGTTGCGTTCAACGTCGATTAGGGAAGGATCGCTGCACCTTTCTCGCGATTTTACTTGTAGGCAAGGGCCCCGTTAGAATGAATAAATCTGTGTGACGCCGGTAGGTAGGTACTCTCATCATGTACCAGAGGTGCTATCAGACGCGAACCGAACCGTCGTCGTGATTTGTCCTGCGTGTGGCCCTCCAATGGTTCGCTTGACTAACGACGTTTTCCTTCGACTTCGAGTAGCATCACCACGGGCGCGAAATTCGATTTTGGTTAGGATGACAACGCTTGCAGGCTATTTGACAGAAAAATACTGACAGATAATGCGTTACCAATCATTTTTTGCGCGAATTTCGAAGTAACTCTGCTTGTTCGGCGATCCAGGTTAACCTTCTGGTACCCGTTGTTCTTCCCGAGGCCGACACCCGACCTGCCGAGACCTCGAGCGCATCGGACGGAGGTCTTGTTCGATCTCCCGTGTTAGTGCCAACCCACGACGGACACCTGCACAAGGTATTGGCTGAGCTGGAATCACTGAAAGCTGACAAGGAGAAGCACTCCGCAGAACTGGAGGCACTGAAAGCTGACAAGGAGAAGCACTACGCGGAACTGGAAGCACTGAAAGCTGAAAACAAAGACCTCCAGGGCCAGGCAAGCAAAATAATCCATCGCTTCGGTATGATGAAAGGCCCCATTCCCATGAGACTACGAGCCTCGCTATTTTGAATGAGCCCTCTGACGACCTCGCCCTGCTGCTTGAGGCAAGCATCTCAGAACAAAGTCTCTGCCGTTTGCATCTTTTGTTGTTACTCCGTGTTAAGTTGCCACTTTCGAGAAACGCCTCCCAAAGTCTCAAGGTGGCCCGGGCGACTCCGTGGATGCCGGTGAGTGTTGGTGTTGCCTCCCACCATCTGTCGAGAGAGGTGAGCATTCATAACGCAGAGTGTCATTTCGAAGGGTTTTTCCTTTCCTGGGGTAGTTCCATATTTTTGTCCGTGGCGTTGTACGTTTTGCCCGGCAAACTCGGAACCCATCGCGATTTTTTTCTCATCATATGCAGCTTGTTTCATGCAGGCCAGACGGCGTTGGCGCCAAATAGATGTTGCATCCCCCGACGCTCGCCATGCGTTGTTCGCTATTTTCGATTGCCCGACGGCAACTGCTTGTAGGAGAAGGGCAGCTCCTCGCTCAGGAGCGAAAGACAAGACCTTGAATGAATTCATGCACGACATGGAGAACCCAGGTGCGTTCTTGACGTACACCAGTATCTGCGGACTCCCATGGGCTCAACTCGTTTTCGGAACAAAAGCATGACCTAGGCCACCGAATGTGAACTGGTGGTCGACCTAATTTTTGCGGCACGGAAAACTGTGTTCATGATCTGTCCGATGACTGCTGATGGTTGAAACCTTGAACATGATGGCAGTTTTTTCATAGCAATAGGATTCGGGTTGAGTTCGTGACCATTGGCCGACTCACGAGGATTCTGCCAACAAGACACCCGCCGGGTTGTCCGCAACCAACCTTTCCTTGCGATGAAAAGCCCGTCATTTCATTGCGACCGCTTGCGTAACTCCCTGTGGCAATGACGGCGTGTCTCATGCTTGTTTTCTTGCATCGTTGGTGCATGAAAAACATAAAAAGAGTGTTTTCCTCATGGCCCTACATGCCCTTCTCTTTCGGAAGCGTTTCCCGCCGTGAACTTGCAGCTCGTGCGGCAGATCGGCAGACTGTCACTCTCGACGAACATCTGATCACCGAGGCCCGTGTCGAAGAAGTAGGCAGAGACGGGCCTTCTGGATGCACGAGTCGTTGCATTCAAAGAAGGAAACCGAGGCGAGTTTAATTATGGTGGTTGGCCCCGCAGTTACACGTTTGCATCTGCCGGACTCACTGGCCCTACGACACGATTGGTACAACAGCCGTGTTCAGCGGTTTGACTGCTCCACTGCTGTTAATGCTTGCCATGTGCAGGAAAGAAGAAGGGATTTATTTCACGCTTGTGCGGCTGTTGCTGATTGGGAAACGGTAGCCGTGGGATCTGGACTCAGCGAAGACCTGCGATAGCGGACCCCGTACAGCCGACCAGCAGCCCCGATGTTGGGCTGGTTCCATTTCCATGCGGAGGAACCTGCGAGACTTATTGCGAGTGATGTTGGCATCGGGAAACGCGTGCTTATGCTCTCATGCTCTCATTCCATTCGGGGTTGAAAGGGGGATAGATAATGAGTGTCGATCACCAACTTCCTTCCCATAGAGTGAGGCCCCGCGGACTTGCTTTTGGTCGTGACGTCCGGTACGCGAACGAAGGTGAATAAGTGATTCTCCATGTTTTTGGTCTCCTCGTGCCTCTTGTTCTTCGCGTATGCATGTTGGACGCTGCCATACGGCTGTCAGTCTGTTTTCCCTCGATATGTCCACGACACGTAAGACAGTGCCAAGAAGCACCGAGCGAGGAGGACGAACCCGTAAGTCCTGTTGGGGGCGGAGAGAGTTGTGGCTTCCCAGCACGAGGGCAGAGGAAACTATTGTTATAGCAGATCGCGAACGTCCGGTAAGCGGGGAAAATGCTGCAGTTAAACGAAGAGAGCAATCACGGAGAAGCGAGGGCGGGCTTGAGACATGATTCATCAGGTTGCACGTCTCCCCATTATACTTACCCCATTCCCTTACTCACCTTCCCTTGCCTCTTTCATCCTCCCCATCCGTGAGCAGTCGAATTGGGTGGGCGGGTGCGGAGAATTCAAAAGGGACTGATGGTCCACTCGCTGCAATAATATCAACAAAATCGTGATACTTCGTGCAGCTAGCTGCTCTTTTCCTGTTGCCTATCTGACGTGTGCTGTGCCAATTTGAGGAACAGCAGGAGCAACTCCGCGGTCTTTGCCCTTTAATCCCAGATGTCGCCAATACCGACGGGGAGGCTCATGAGGAATTTTCCGACAAACGCACTCTGTCCCGCGTGATAAAAAATGGACGTTGGTTCGTTTTCATCGAGAACAGTACATATGGCCTCGTTTTCGCTTTGTGCACCGTCCGCGTCTTCCATAACGATACCAATACTAACAGAAAACTGAATCAACACAATCAGCATTTTCAAGACACGCGAGAGGTTCAGCTCAAGCTTTCTCAACAGTTTTGTTAGAAGTGGCCTCTCTTCGTGCGCCATGAGGATCTCACCCACGATCTATGCTTGCCGGGGGCAGGCTACGAACCAGCTGTGATGAGTGCGCTATTCCTAGCTCATCACAGGAGCGCCTTTGCGTGGTCGTTTCTCACACCAACACATGAATCGATCGTGTCCAAACACTATACGTGACACACTGCTGCTGCAGGGCGGAAAGGAAGGCGGTTCATGCTAAATTACTGCCTGCCATATCGTGTCATCTGCTGACCATTGATGACCAAAATGACGGACGATGCGCAACCTCTGGCTTAGTGTTGAGGCGTATTCCGCGTGTTTCTATCGTACACATCCCAAGTTTGGGGGCAACCAGATCACACGCCAACACAAAATTTTCGATGCACCTCCTAAGAGCTCGCTTGTGTGGGTTTTCACCCAATGGTTTGTATATTTCGTGGAACATACCCGAACATACCGGTACCACCTGCAGCGGCGTAGCGGGAATACGATAATCCTAGCCCAAGTCTACATTCTGCCTCGGGCTCCCTATTCTCGTTATGCCTGCTTGGTGCTCGGCTGCTCCCCCCTCCCCGCGAAGCCATTCTCCGAAGAAGAAGAGTGCGTTTCCCGCTGAGTGTCACGTCCTCGCGACAAAAAATCTCGGACAATAACCGGAAGAGGGCTCAACAAACAACGAAAAGACATCTGAAGATAACATAAACAACGAGGCCTTCCGCGTACCAGGTACATGAGATCTTCGGCGGTGCACCAGTAAATATCATGGCGTCTCCCGACCCCGGGCCACACCGCTTGCCCCTTGTGGCCCTATGCGCACGGTGCGCATGGCAATGTTTGGTGGGGTTGTGTGCGCCCGTCCTGGCCAAACATCTGGTTCCCGGGCATCACATCCTACCAACGGTTGCGCCCAGATTAAGCCGCTGCTGCCAGCTTCTTGAGCATCGAGATGTTCTCCACCGCCTGCATGAGACAATGATAAGTGCCGGGGATTCCAGAGTCAACGGGAACCAACAGAAAGAGAGGTAAGTGACGTTTCAGCAGAGGCGAACACGGCAAAATGACGAGTACGCGGACACGACCACCAAGCGTGACAAACTCTTGAGAAAACGGAACTTTCTGCAGAATTAAACAGAACTCTCTCCAGCATTCCGTAGCAATCCCTTCGCTACACCTGCGCAGCGCACAACGCTAGACGTGCATGCCAGCGTGGGACCCCCATCGCGTCCCATGCACCCCACAAACACCCCGCCTTCACACATTCTCCGACCCGACCCCCATGGCCTTGGTGTTACGGGGGGGCGCGCAACACGACCAAAGGGCGAGAGAGCCCCGGCATCACCTCCCCGACTAGCTGCGCCCAGACCAAACGAACAGTTCAGCGACTCACTCCCAACACCAATGAAATTCGGTCTGCTCGAACCATTGCAGATCACGCCAACCCCAACATAGAGCAAAGAGGGCCGGAAGGAGAGCTTGGCACCAAAAGCGCGAGGCCACCCAGTTGATGTCTGCTTGCACCGGGGCTAGTCACCAAGGCTGCTGCTTCTGCTTCTCGCTCGACCAATTCAGAGCCAAGAGAGTCGGAGGGAGAGCAAGGCGCAGGGTAACACAAGGCCACCGAATTGGTGCACCCAGGCGAGTCGCTGCAACTGCTGCTGCTTCTGCGTCTCGCTCGGAGCGCGGGGAAAACAGCCCAAGAGCACCCGCCCCCCCCTCCCCCCATCCAGATACCGAGTCCGGTCTCCCCACCTGCTCCATGTAGGCGTCCGGGGTGGACGCGCCGGAGGTGACTCCGATCACGATCTTCCCCGCGGGCAGGAAGTTCTCGGTGCGCAGCTCCTCCATGGAGTGAGGGTCGACGTGGGCGATCGACCCGTCTGGCTTGATGCAGTCAGCCTTGTTAACCCAGTACGTCGGGATGCCCTTGTTGGCGGAGATCTCCGCGAGGTGCTGCGTGTTGGACGAGTCCCACCCTCCCACAACCAGCATGAGGTCGATCTCCTCCTCCACGAGCTCCAAGATGGCGTCCTGTCCGCAGTCGAAGCACGTACGTACGCGAAGCAGCAGCAGCAGCAGCGTCAGTACACGGTACGGCAAGGACAACAATGCGTGCTGAACAAAATACATGTGAACGCATACGCACCGCAGTGGCGGCAGCCGCAGTCGAACAGGCCTTTCGCGGCATCGTATTGTACAACAGCGAACAGCTTCGCACCAGTACAGAACCAGCGCTGCGAGCCAGCAGTACCGGTGGAGGCACCGAGAGGTACCGGATAACGTCAAACCGAAACGAAACAAGAGTCTTCGATGTGACGCCGGGACCGATGCACATAGACAAAGACAGCAGGTGACCGATCGCAGCAAAACAACCAACAAACACACACACAGCCAGCAGCAGCAGCCCTAGTTAGAAAACAAACAACCGCCCCCCCCCATCGCTATCAAGCTCCTCCCACATTAACTGGCATCGCGCTTGAGTCACCAAAACTACAATCCCTTGCTGGTTCACCGCCGCCCGAAACCTCCTCCTCCCGTCTGACCTGCCGCTCTTGTGTCGCGTCGCAGATGGTGTCGAACGCCATCCAGTGCTCCCCGACCTCTGCCGGGCCGTACTTCTCCATGAGCGTCTTCTCGAACAGCTTCCCGATGTCGCGGGTCTCGCGCTTGTACATGGTCGTCTGGTTGGCGAGCCCTACCTTCACCAGGTCCACGTCCGGGTCGAAGCCCTCCGACATGGCGTTCTTGAACTTCTCCATGAACTCCGCCTTGTCGCCGCCCCCGTTGGCGATGTACGCGGCAACGTACTCGGCCTCGGCCATATTCTTCACCACCAGGTACTTGTTGCAGAAGGAGGCCGTCGCCACCGTCTCCTCGTGGGCCCACTTGCCGTGGATCACCGAGGTGAACTGCGCCTTGGTGTGCTTGTCGACCGTGTTCCACACCTTGCTCACCCAGGGGCAGGTCGTGTCTACCACTTGTACGTTCTTGTCGTCGAGCGTCTGCATCTCCTCGAGGGACGCCCCGAATGCCGGAAGGATCACAACGTCTCCGTCATTGATCGTCTCCAGGTCCTTGCCCCCCTTGTCGCTCACTGAGAAATACAGGAGAGGGGGCGATGGAGGAGGGAGAAAGGGGGGGGGGGGG